CGTGCAGAGGGCATCTGCACACTGGACACTGAAGGAATCAGTCTAGGGTCTGGAGCTCACTGCAGCGTTCCATGCAAGTCCGTATCAGGAGGCCGACAGGTCTGCAATGGAAGGCTGAGGAGTCTACGCTGGAGGGCTGAAGGATCCAAGGAGGAAGCCTGAGAGTCTGCACTAGAAGCCAGGAGGTAACATCCAAGCTGAAGGCGAACACTGGAGTTCCTCCAAAGATCAGAACCTCTCTGTCCTTCCTCATTTTCCTTTTATATAATCTAGGTGATGATCCAACGTAGGGTGGCTCCTCCGTGCCGTAGGGTGGCTCCTCTACACCCTAGGGTGTGGAATTGCTGAGCCAATTTAGTTAAGCGTCTAAACTTCTCAAGTTGACACAATCAATCAACCACCACAAGGGCATAAGAGAGCTTAGCTTTGCTCCAGAAGCAGAGAGGCTACAGCTGTGCTCCTCTTTATTGGGGTTTGTCGCAGGCTCCACACAACCTTCATGTCTGCCACAGATGCTCTGAGCACCGTTGGACTGCCTAGCTCGTGAGGGCATGCACGTAGAGCTGCTCATAGGGGTGCCGGGGCCAGCTAGGGAGTCCTGTCTCACCCAGGCCTTCATTAAAATGAGTCGGAGCAGTAAGCCCAAAAGTGACATGTGCTGCCTTCAGATGCCAGAGTTCCACCAAGCATCTGTGCCTTTCTTATGTGGCGCTGGCGTCTGCGGCTCCTACCCTGACACACTATTGCTTCTGTTTAACTATTCTGGTAGGAGGACGATGCCTAGGGAGTGTGAACTTGGCCCTTCTGTTAAGAGACAGCCTTACTCAGTGGGTTGGGAAGCCATTAGCGGGATTCTACTCTTTCTGAGGAGGGGCTACTTCAGCTATAGACTCTGGGTCTGGGTAAAGTATGTTAGTTGTTTTCTTTTTTTCACGGAGATCACTGAAACAGAAGAAAATTCCCAGTCTGCCACTGCCACACGCGCCCACTGTCCAGCATGCGCTCCCACGGAAAGTCTGTTCTCCTGCGGTTCGTGTTCTACAGTGGGCTCTGGCTCAAGAGTTACTGCTAAGTAGGGGGATGGTGTCACCGTACTGTGGAAGCTGGGTTGGTGCATGGTGACTTTTGCCTCTGCGCTTATTGATGTTTTGTGTCACTAGAGAAGGGCAGATGACTACGAGGGGCAGCGATGGAAGGAGCCGAACGAGCAAGCAGAATAAAGTTCTTTCCGTCAAGTGTGCATCACATGTTTTTCTTGGTTTAGTTTTGTTAGTTTCTGCTTGAAAATGCTTGTTGTGGACTCAGCAGCTGCTACCCTTGCTTCTGCCCAGTTCTTTCACCATGCCTTTGTCCTCTCCTGGAAAGGTGAAGTCCATTGTTTATTTTTCAGTGCTGGGGATTTAACCCAGGGCCTTTGCACTGAATTATATACTCAGCCCCTTTTTAAGTTTTGAGATGAGGTCTCTATGTCATTAGGTTGCCTGGCTGGGTTTGAACTTATGATCCTCCTGCTTTAACCTCCCAGAATGCTGGGATTACAGGTTTGTTCCACCATGCCTTGCAAAGTTCTTTGTTTACCGATGTATTTATTTATTAGGAATACTGCACGTCTTTTATTTTATTTTATTTTTTTACTGTGCTAATATACTTTTTCTTTCTCTCTTCAGAGACAAGGCCTCACTGTATTGCTCAGGCTGGCCTTTAACTCTGGACTCACGAAGTCATGCCTCAGCTTCCAGAGTAGCTGGGACTACAGGAACATGCCGCCTTGATGAGCTTTGTGTTATTATGTGAAGACTGGTGTTTTGTTGCTCAGGTTTGAAAGCTGGAAAGCTCTGGGATGGTCTGCCCGGGCCAAGTATTTTTAAGAGCATGAATTTGAGAAGAACACAGATCTCAGGAGCACAATATTTATCATATCATAGCAGAAATGTCAGTGTGCTGCCTGCCCACCCATAACTATGGATACATTTTTCATGCTCCTACCTACAGCTTGTCATATCCCGCACTCGTGGACCACAGTCCATCCTGCTTATTCAAGGACATCACTCTAATATTTCCCCCATTTTTATCAGTTTTTCCTATTTCATCAAATTTTCATCTCTCTGGACACATTTCTTTTACATTATAGGTATGCTTGCTGCTTCCCTCAATTAAAAAAAAATCATTCTCTTGATACCACAGCCCCTACCAGTCTAGTACTCCTATTTCTTTAGCTGTCACAGTTGTCTGTGCTCGCTGCCTCTGGCTCTTCCCGTTTTCTCTGAAGGCAACTGCAGCCTGGCTTTGTCCCAGTCCTCTCACCAATGCTTTCACTGTCCAGGCCACTAATGAAGTCTCCAGTGAGAAACCCAATGGTCAGTGCTCACTCCTTTCTTACTGGTCGGTCAGCAGCATCTGTAAGGGGTGCTTTACCACCTTCCTCCTCCAAACACTTTATCTGCTTCCGGGCAACCACACTCAGTTTTCTTCCTAGTTCCCTGGATGCTCCCTCCAGCCTAAATACTGCCGATTCCCTAATATATATATTTTTCTCCAGAGTAGACCTTTTGTTCTTAAAGTGAAGATGCACATATTCAGTTGCCTACTTGAGATCATCACTTTGTTTAATGCATGTTTCAAAATTAGCAAGTCTAAAGCTGTCTGGCAAACAAGTCTAAACTAGACTTGCTAGTTTAGACTGTCTCAACTAGACAAGTTGAAATTAGACTGTCTAGACCATCAAGTCTAAAATTGAACTTCTTACCCCGCCACCCAACAAATCCCTTGTAGGTGCTTGGCCAAAAGTTTTGCAAATCATTTCTGATTCCTCTGTATCACACCATATACCCAACACATGAGCAGGCACTGCTGGTTTCACAATATATCCAGAACCTGTGCACCTCCTTCTGCATCTACTCCTGCCATCCTGGTGCAAGATATCATTTCCTCTTGCCTGAACTGCTACAAAAAAACTTCCAGTTGGCTTCTCTATTTCTACCTTTTCTTCCCTCTAGTCAATTTGCAATGCAGGAGTTACAGCGATCCTTTCAAAGTATATTGATAGACCTTTCAGATACCACTTTGGCTTTGCTGCCCAATTATCTTCACATTATTTTTGTCTGGGGTCTTTGCATGCTGATTGTGGGCCTGTCTCTGTGTCTCTCTCAGGGATCCCGTTTTCCCACTCCCACCAGGAGGCCCACTGCAAGTGCAGTGTCCTTCCTGCCTCCCCAGCCAAAGAGCAATCTCCCTCGCCCTCCGTGCTTTTCTCAATGCTGGGGTGAAGGGCAGGTCCTTTGGGCTTTTGGGGATCATAGCATTAGAGTATGGGTACCACAGATCCATTCCAATATGCCTACCTCTGTAAGTCGTTTGGATTTCTTCCTCTGTATATCTATAGAGCCCTGTTATAAAGCTTGAAGGTACTGTGGGTCACCCCCGCGTCCAGGTTTCAGTACACTGACTGGTTAAATTGTTAGCACTCCTCCCGGTTGCTTCTCTGAGCACATTTGATCCAGTGTCCTTTGGTAAGTGCGCTTTTATCAGCGAACTCAATTTGACCATCATATCCATCTTTCCCTGTTGTGACATAATACGGCCCCTCATATCTGCTAGGATTTTTGTCTTAGCGATTAGCAATGTTTGCAGTTCCACTGTGCTAGATTTTTCCTCCCCAGCCCTAAATCTGCTAGGATGTGATTTTAGTTACAGTCTAGAAGCAAGGAGCCATGAAGTGTATGAAAGAATCTGGTTTCCTCTGCAGGGGAGTCCAGGCTCACTGTCAGGATCTTCCAGAAGAGCTTCACCAGCCGAAGAGGCAGAGCTGAGCGGGGCTTGAGGTATTTGTCACATGTGTTCCCGTCCTAATTCTCAAGGTCCCCACTTTTCTTATTCATCACTAATTCTCACCTAGGAGACCTAGCAAGGCTTTGAACTCAAGAAATACACAGTAATTCAGCATTCAGAGGGCCAAACTCTGGAGTTTTCTTTCCAACTCTCTCAGTCAGATGGCTACCTGAAGCAAGAGGGTCTCTTGGCAGTCATAAGAAATTCTTGGCGTCTCCTACTATGCCTTAAGCCAATGTTTCTCAACTGGGGCATTGGTGAATTTCGACCAATTCATTCTATGTTGTCAGGGTCTGTTCTGGGCATTGTGGAATGTTTAATGGCATTCCTGGGCTTTATTCACTAGACTTCAGTTCTATCTTGCTTCTTTCCAAGTTATAGCAGCCAAAAATGTCTGTAGACATTACTCTGTGTGTGTGTGTGTGTGTGTGTGTGTGTGTGTGTGAGAGAGAGAGAGAGAGAGAGAGAGAGAGAGAGAGAGAGAGAGAGAAAATCGCTTATGGCTGAGATCACTGCATTAACTCAAAGAACAAGGACTGGGGAATCTTATTTTTTCTCCAAGCTGCCAAGTTCTTTTGCTAAAAGCAGTCCACCCCACAGTGCTTATTCTGGCTACCTCCTGTAGCACTGGGAGATCACAGGGAGGACGGAATGTTTCACCACCATCCTAGCCGTAACCTGTCTTTAACCCAGCGAGGCCTGATAACCAATAACAAATTCACACTTCTGGGCTTGCTTCTTGAAACCCCTAGGAATATCTATCTCCATATTAAAATTCTAGCTGTTAACAAATCTAGAGAGTATTAGCAAAAATGAAACATATTCAAGATCTGTAGGCAGCTCTTAGCATTCTCTAGGAAAGCCAAGTTTAGAGGCTGCCCAGCCAGGAGCCCTGCTGAAACGCCAGGACAGGAATGTGCCGGTGACCACTCTGCTGGGACCACTACTTTGCACAAATGCCAAAACTCATACAGGCGAATGTACCCTGCTACCAGGGATGCAATGAGGACCAGGCTCTGCTCGGGAAGCGAAGTTTGGAGCTTCTGCTTTGGAGAGGTAAGGTTCACAGAACAGGGAATTTCCCAAACATAGAAAGACTGCTCAAATGGTACTAAACCAGCCCAAAACGCGAGCCACTGGGTCAGGGGATTGAAAAAATTTAAATCAGAACATACATTTTAACCAACTTTCTTTTTTTTTTTCAAGTAATGAACATAGGAAACATTGAATTTCTTCAAATGAGGGTGGGGGACAATTAAGGCTTTTTTGGAAGAAAAAGCACAAATTGCACTTTCCATTATGAAGGATATTGGCTTTCTTCATATCGCTCTCACTGATGTCTAATATAACATGTGATACAAAATGTCTTGCAAAGAAAAATTATTTTCCTATTAATGGAGAAGAAAATTATAGGTCCATAAAATCAAGTTTAGTGTCCGAAGAAGTTACGGATAAAAGTTTCTACAGTTCTAAAAATAAAATACCTATCATACACTCATGTGAACCCCTGGACACTTTCACTTGGAAGGTGGAGTTCTGCTCAGACACAGTGTGCGGCGGAGCAGGTCTTTTCACAATCTGACAGAACTTCAGGCTCCTTTCAAAGCATTCATCAGCTGTGCTCTCTCATGATCACTAAGCACCTCACGCGTGTAGTACCAAGGAATGTGTCCATCAGCCATGTCTTGTCCTCAGGAGGGTGAGACTTTTGAACTCTGGTGCAATAATGAATCCTGCAGACGACAGGGTTCCTGCAAAGCTGACTTCCAAGGACTTGCACCTGACTTAGGGCAGCAAGTCCACTATGGTCCAGGAGGGGATGACTTCTTATATTTACATATGAATGCGTTTGTTTTTCCAAGGCTGACTTCGTAGTACTTTACAGGCACCAAAGAGCCACATGGCAACATTTTGTCTGAACATTCCTGGTAAGCAGCTTCGCACAAAGTCGTCAGTTTCTCTGATAGGTCAGTTTTTTCGACAGGACTGAAGCACTTCCTAACTCCAGGTTCATCAGTGCGGCTGCCTCTGGAATCCAAAGGCGCGTGGCTTCCTCCATAATCTGTAAGGAGCCTATGATGATCTTCGCTCAGCAACAATACAATGGTCCCACCAACACGCAGCACCCTGGGACAAAAAGTGATTCATTGAGATGAATATTTCTTTTCTTTTAGACAACAAACAATCTTGCTTTATTTAAAATAGCTGTTTTCAACTTGAAATTTAATTTTATCTATTTAAATACAAGGATTTTTAATAATTAGGTGGTGTCTTCCATAATGCATGTTCATTACAGTAATTATGGAATCTCTAGTACAAATCTGCTTTAATGATCTATTTTTACTCTACTTAAAAGGCAAGCCTCGAAGTAATTTGTAGTCACATTCTAACAAATGATCCTAGAGAGAAGGCAAGTGACAGAAGCCTACAGAATCAGCACATTCAAGTAGACGAGAGGCTGACGGCAGAGGAAAGTTGGTAGGGAAAAGTTAGGGTATGACAAAGGGCGGGGAAGGGACGATCAGACGAACCGGGCAGACCCTGAGATGTCAGCTCTGTGAGAATTCATGTACTCAGTCACTCAGCCAGAGTCTGGGGGCACTGGTGTAGCAGTGGAGAGGAAGATCCCACCGTCTTATGAATGCTGAGGTTTTACTGAGTGATGGAAAAGAAGTGACAAAGTACACCTTAGTGTTCAGAAACAAAAACCGGAAGAGGAGCATGAGAGACACTATTCATGTTTCCAGATCCAAGGCCTCGAATTCCATGGTATAAATTCCGTTGTATAGATAAGGATGACAATTCCATGGTATAAATTCCATTGTATAGATAAGGATGACAGGGTGACAATCAGAGGACCTGGAGTTACAGAGGAAGCTTTAGTAGCTTTTGCTCATGCAATCCATTAGTGACCCGGGCAGTTCTTCTCCAAACTGTACCACATACTCATCTGTTTCATGCACATTCTGCCCGGCTGCAGCAACCGTGTCCTGATAGACAGGTCTTGCATCTACGCCTGGTACCCTTTCTACTCTCCATTCCCAGCTTCCATAGAGAAGGATGTAAGACTTCTGATTCTGCTGCTGCTGCTTTAGTGTATTTCAAATAAGCTCTGACCTCTTTCTATGGCACTCAGGACTCCTGCATCATCTGACCTCACCTACCTGTCCCGCCTCATCACCCGCCTGCTGCCCTCTGCCCAGAGACCTTCCTATAGGTGCTCAAACTTGCCTTGAGACAGCTGGTCTTGCCGTTCGCTTTGCATTCAAACTGATTCCCTTGTGTTCTTTTGTATCATTCGGGCTCCAGAGCTCAAATATCATCGCCATGGAGAGGGCTGTCCTGACTACCTACCTAAGGGAGCCACTGCTTTTCTTCCTCTCCCTGACAACACATCCGCTTTTATTCCCTGCACTGTACCAATCACTGTGTGCAATGACCCTGTGTGTTTGCTCCTTAAAGACCCACCTTCTCACACAGAGGGGTGGGCTTTGCCTGTCCCATTCACTCCCGTACCTGCAGGACCTGAAGCAGTGCACAGAATACGCCAACACTGTCCGCGCATCTGGCGAAGGATGACCGAATCTCTCAGAAAGGCTGAGGATAAGAAGGAGAAGTGGGCAGAGTGCAGCCCTGGAGGAGAAAAATGAGAGGGATGCTTGCAAGAGGAGAGAAACCTCTTCCACTGAGATGGGGAGGGGGCAGATGTTTCCATGGAGTGGAAACAAGAAAATGTATCAATAGCTCTCACCACATAAAAGAAATACTTTACAATAATGAATGAGATATAACCTCTATCCTTACTGCATAAGCAAAGATAAAAAAAGTATATGTAAACTTTGACCCAGAAATCTCACTGCTAAGAAAATATCTACGAAGAAGAAGAAGGATGGCCGCTAGTATTTACTAAGCACTTACTATGTGCCAGGCACTGTTTTACATTATTTGTCTTTTCACCCCTAAATTGTTCCTTCAAGTACACTCACTCAGCATTGTCATTCTGCAGATGAAACACTGAGGCACTGTGGTTTTAAGCAGTTTGGTCATATAAAAAGTTTGAAAAACCATGCAAATATGTTTAGGGCATTGTCTTCTTTTTGTCACACTATTCTTCTTTACAATAAAAATTGAGAATTACCTACATGTTCATCTGTATGTACTGGTTATACAGTAGTGCATATCATATTATGGCATATAATACCATGGCAATCCCTGAAAATTATAATGCAGTAAAACTGATCAAAAAAGCAGATTCACTGAGTGGGAAAAAGCAGGGCTTTTTTTTTGTCTTTTTTGAGACAGGGTCTCGCTATGCAGTTCAGGCTGCCCTTGAGACCACTCTGTAGCCCCGGCTGGCCTTGAACTCGCAACGATCCTCCTGCCTCAGCCTCCTGAGTGCTGGGATTACAGGCGCGCACCAAGGATGATTCTATTTATGCACAATTGAAAATATGTATCTATTCATGCGTCTGTATAAGGTAAGAAACCTAGTAAGACATTCACCAATTTATTTACTAGAACTTTTTTCAAATAATGGAGGAGATACTGCAGTACAAATCACCTTAAGTTCTGCACTTTAAAGATGAAACAGTTTTGATCAATATCCTTCTAGGTATTTTCCCATGTCCATACACACAGAATTTCTTGCTAAGAAAGCTATTCAGAAATTAAAAAGTAATATTTTCCAAACTGTCTTTCTCTCAAAACTAGTGTATGGGTATTTCACAATAATATTACTTCTTGAGAAAAAGTTTTGTGGCCAATCTGTTGAAGAAACTGCATCAAACAACATAAAAGAGATTTTTCTTTTGCATGTGAGCCTGCAGGACCAGGTGAGGGGGAGAAGACACAAATTACCCTAAATCATTTGACCACGGACCACGGTAAGTCTTGACCATTTTAACCACCTACAAATCCTCTGGTGTAGGCAGCCTGCTGTACTCACTGTTCCCCGAACACGCTTTCGGGTCCCCTCTTTACTCAGGAAATACTCAGTGAACATCTGTGTGCAGGAAGCGTGGAGTGGTGCCCTTTTAAAATTCTCTCTAAACTGCACTGAACTTGTGCTTCCTCTCCGGAGCCACACCCCAGCGTTGCGGCAGACAGCGCTCTCTCCTTCAAGCTGAGCACATCGAATTCCTGTTTCTGCTCCTGTGTTTTACATGGTTAGGTCCGAGAGGGAAGCTCAAATAGTGTATTTCCCTTCACTCCACACAGTGCTCTGTATCCCCGAAATGGTTAATCTCTGGATAAATCAGCAGAGGAAATAACTGAGTGGAGAGTGCATAGCTCAGCCGCTAAGGTAATTACTTGTCTGACAATCTTTAATTCTGATTCTGTGGCCTTGAAAAACCCACAGAACCAAGTATTTCCACTGCCCATTAGACCTCTTATATTTTTTTTTTCTTATTTTTACTAACACAATTCCCCATCTATTTCAACTTCTGGCTGGAGCCTTAAACTACCAGTAAACCACTGGGAAAGAAGTTATATTTACAAATATATCTATATATGTATATATATAGATATCTATATCTCCTCATGTAGTTCCCAAAAGGATTTTTGTTTACACTAAAAACTCAGGTAAGCACTAATCTATTTTCTAGGCATCCAGCACTGCTCTAAGAACTTTAAATCTACTCAATCTTGCTGGGTGTGGTGGCCCACTCCGGTAATCCCAGCACTTAGGAGGCAGAGGCAGGAGGAT